TACTCCTCTGGCTGAGATAGGATCTTCTTGAGTTCTTCTTTCAACGAGATGAAGATAGGCTACTCCTCTGGCTGAGATAGGTGACCCATTGTGCCACCGTTTGTGCTTGGGCCACCCCTGTCTTAGGAAGATGAGTCACATCTTTCAACCACCCCCGAATCGATAGAATGGTCCTCACTGTGATTTCAGCTGTTTGTTGTTACCGGTTCTACTGCCTGTAATGTGGAGAAGGCAGCCAATAACTGTTTTTCAATCAGCTATATCTTTCTCCTGTTCCATGCCAGACCTGAAACCAGAACCAAAAGGGATCCAAACAGAACTCTGGCGTTGCCAATGGCCCCAGCCAAAGCCATCCTGAGTGATGTGAACATCCACTTCAGCTGGGAGGGTAGGATCAAATATACCCAATGCCTTTGCTTGTTTAACTGCCAGTTTTGCTCGTTGGCAAGCCTTGTGTTCTACTCTCCCTCAGTCCCATAGTTGCTCCTTTTGTCATGAGACTGTATAATGGTCTCAGCAGCTGTGCTAAATGAGGTATAAAGGAACACCAATATTCCCAATATACCTAAGAAAACTCCTACAGCTGCTTTGGTGTTGCAGGGACTGGGAATGCATGAACCTTATCTTTCACAGCACTGAGTAGCGCTGTAAAAGAAGCCTATACTGTCTCACATTGGTAATCTTGCTTGGTTCTGGCAGGCGAACAGGCTCATGCTTCAGATGGCCGCTCAACATTGCCTGCACCACCCAGACACTTATGTACCTCTGTCAAAGTTTGAACTATCCTACAGTTGTCTGGAGAGCCACATAAAGTGTCTATGCCCAAGATGTATTCTGGGACTGGGGCAGTAAGACAGTTTATACTCCCAGGGCAGGAGACCCAGGCCCAACCCCCAGTTTCAACCATATCTAGGTCACAGGAATGGTCTGCCCCCAAGTTACCAACATCATTCTATTCCCTTTGAGTTTAGTTAGATCTCCATAATTACTGATGTTTCTGCAACCATGTCTACTAATTGCATAATTCCTTGTATGTCCTTTCAAGACCAAAAAACTGTGAGCTCAACATAGGGCCTCCAGTCCTGTCTGGAGGCCCTTGGGGAACTAACAACCCCTGTCATACCATAATATGTCTCATGCCCAGGAATTTTCCCCCGGGTGGCTCAGGCATCATAGCCCACGTCACTTGCAGAGGCTTTTTTCTTCTATTAGGGACTATAAAATCCTCTAAATTCCAATTCCTTGTTGACATTTGTTGAATTATTCATACTCCCGATCTTCAGGAAGTATTTTGAAATTTCTGATCATTTTGTCATTGTATCCACAATTGAAGTAAAACATGATTGGACTGCCTACCAACCTTAGTAAAGGCAATTCCAGGCTGTATGAGATCATTAAACATCTGTTTCCGGGATACCGATATGTAGCTCAATCAGGGTTTCCTGTGGGGCATGCTTCTTGGTCTTAACTAGGAGAAATTCAGCTTCTTATACCATTCGAACATTACACCTTGTTCTTAGGAGATCTGTTTTCCCCAAATCAGCTACCAGCTTGTTGGATAATGGCCTCTGAGGCCACTATGGGATTTAGTATTAGCTTTAGTATTAGCAAACTAAAGTTCCATAAAGGTTGGAAGGAGCTTGCTGTAAAATCAGGCCTCTCATTCCCACCATAAATTTTGCCAGGTCTGGGCTCTCAAATGTTTTCTCATATATTGCTTCTCTCATACCTAATTTACAAGTACAAGTCTGAAGGTCTTCCATGGAGGACCATAAACCTGTGTGCAATGGTATATCAGCTTTAATGAGGCAAGCCAAACAGCATGCTGCAGTCAACCAATCTATCATTCAGTGGTTTTCATTGGTATATTGGACAGCAGCATATAATCTCTGTCTAAGAGCAGGGTGTAAACTACTGGATGCCAGCTTGGAAATCTGGTCTATTCAGTATGGCACTTTCTGCCCCTGAACCCCATAATCTCAGAAGTCAGGTTGGTACGCTTTCTCTGTACTTCTATCACAATTGCGGGATCAAATTCATTAATTCAGTCGCTGTATAAGGACAGGCTGGTACATGCAAATGTGTTTGGGCAGGGGCCCACTGGTCAGGAGGCACCACTGTTGGTTCATCTTGTATTTTTTTCATTTTTTGAGTTATTATGGGACCATAATAAAGAGATCCATCACTGATGGAGCTCCAAGATCCAATTTAGAAGTCTTATCTTCTGAATCAACCAGATCCATTTCTTCAGGAGCCTGGGTATCATCTAATGAAATGTTACAGACCTTTTTTTATTGGGAAATTTTAGCTTGATTTTTTTCCCTGTTAGTACACCAAGTTCTAGTTTTTCAATCCAATCTTATAACAGTTGAGTTTCATTTTCTGAAGTATTGGTTGTCATTTTGGCCTGATTTAAAGCATTTGATAGTGGCCATACTATGGTGGAGGCAGATAGCTGGTGTTCTTTTGTAAAAAATATATATATTTGTTCAATTCATGTAAATAATCTGGCATGCAGGATGGGGAAAAAATACTTCCAGGAACCCATAGGAGACCCCATTTTTCAATTATAGTTGCCAGTTCATATTAAGGTGATGCCAGAAATCCCAGGATCCACCCAGGGATGGTTTTACCTAGGGGGGTAATGTTCTCTGCCTTAACCCATTTGAAGATTTCCAGGAAAGACATTTTTACCATTTGAGCCTGCCTGGCTTGCCAAATGTTACAGTTGGGAAAGGTATTGCAGTGTTAAAGTGCAAAAGAATGTCATGGTGAAATGAAAAGAAACAGAGAAGAATCTTCATATAGGAAGATTCAGGCTCATTGTAAGAGTCTACAAAGGAGGAATCTCCAGAAAGAGATCCTTCCCCAGTGGTAGTCAGCCCTTAAATGGGATCTAGGAGACACCTAGCCTTCTCCTGTGTTCCCACAGCTCACCCAGTCCTTGTGTCAGGTGATCAGTCAGTGTTTCAGGTTGTGACTCATCAGCTCCTGTACAACACTTGTAAACATCTGCAGCAGCAGACTTGACCCATTGTTGCTATTGCCACTGCTAAAATGCTAAACCAAGTGCCTCGTGCTCATATCCACTCAATGATTTACAAGATTCAGCTAAGTCTTGATTTACCTGTTGTATCAGAACTGCAGAGTCGCAGCCTGAACCATTGATTGAGCATCTCGGGAAAGGACTTTGTCAGCCCTGGAAGTACGGGTGAAGGCAATTCACCTTTGTCACAGGAAGTGGTGGAGCCTGACTCCACCTCTCTTAGACCTCATTTATTTCTGACTGCCACTCTCTGGTTGGAGATCCCTTCCTTATGGAGTTTTTCCTGTGAGTCTAGCTCTTTGGAGACAGATAAATATTTTTCCTTTAAAATATCATTCCATCTATGCTAGTCCCTTTGCTCTTACACTCCTTTATCACCCTTTCACCATATATATTTCTCTAATTATAAGACCTGTACTACAAATACTCATACTTCAAAAATTACGTGCATATGTTCTACAAAATGGGAAGTAAAAGTCACTCCAAGTAGTCAGGTTTCTAGAAATGTATGTCTGAGTGAAAAGTCTCACCCTTAAATATTTGAATGTTTCTTTATTACCAAAGTTTTCTGAAAAGTAGTTGACAGACAAAAAGTCTGTGTGAGTGGTTACTCAATGAACTCTCTGTCAAGGTGAAGACAGCTAATGTGTATTTCAACTTAATTACTATGGATACTTATTAGTATTTTTAACTGCTTTGATTTGTCGAAAAGAGCAACCCTCTGGAGTCACTTTGCAAAGTTTCCTTGAATTTCACTAGTCATTTGCAAATAAAATATGAAAATACTATATTTATCTTGTTTAAAGGAAAAAAAAAAAGTAACACTAAATATTATTACAAACAAACAAACAAAACAAAACAAAACAAAACAAACAAACAAAAAGAGTAATTCTGTCATACTGTTCCTGTTTTTCCAGACCATGATTTAATTTAAAATCGATTCACCACCTGCTGGAATAAGTTATGTGCATTTAAATGGAGACAATTGGAGCTGTGAAATACAGATGTGATAATCCATATACTGGTAATTTTACCTAACGATGCGTCAAGACAGTAATAATACTTCTGCATATCATTCATTGAGTTACATAAAATGTACTTGCTACAGGTAATAGAAAGGTAGATACCACAGAGAATGTGTATAAACCAACTGATATTTTTGTTGCTATGTCTTTTGAATGTAAATTCGTATGTAATTTCAGAAAATGTAAATGTGTCATCTTTCAAGTTTATTCTTACATCTGATATCTATCCCATATCTGCGTATATGAGGTTTCTGATAAGGGAGATATAAAATATAACCCATGTATTTACAACCCTGCATCTGTAAACTTCGATCATAAAAGGAAGAATGTAAATTAATCAATAATCATAATAGAAAATCTATTGTATCTTATGGCATTTTCCATCTTAAAAATACTAGAAATTCTCTGAAATCTAGCATGTTATATGTTGACTGTACCCTGGAACACAACACACACTGTAAAATTTCTGGCATGGGCTGAGCCTTCAAATCGGTTTCAGATTTCCTGAGTACTTTCCTGATGCTGTAGCATGTAGCAGTGCCCATATTTTTCACACTTCTCACTTTTTTGCAGCCATTATCATATCACATTACCATTAACCTACCTTTCCACTTGGATCTCAGAAGCTAATTCAGTTAAAAACTTCTCTGTAACTGATGTCTATAATTCTTTCAATGTATATTTGTTCCACATATATCTAGTAGTATATAGTAGTAGTATGTTGTCAGCAACTGCGAAATTGCGAGACCCCCCCGCGGGGTCTGATGTGCTAAGCTCCCTCCCTGCTCTAATGATTGATGTGTGATGTAGGCCCCTAGGGGCGTAGACGAAGTAATTAAGCTATATAAGGTAGTTAATACGGGTAATAAACGCCATTTTACTGCTCATCATATTGGTGTCACCTCAGTAATTGGCCAAGCTGCGGTCTCCTGGGGAAGCGGAACGGGTGCGGACTGTAACATGTGGTGACCCCGACGTGATCCCTGGGAGTGAGTCAGCTGTCTGCCGGAAGCAGGAGCCCACTGCAGTGGCGGTAAATTCAAATCTGCGGAATAGTGGAAGCCCGGGGACGGGGAGGAGGTGGCCATTACTCCTCGTCAGGCGGGAGGCTCGGGAAAAGGAGCCAAGATCCCCCTAGGACGCTAGGGGAAAGACGCCAGAAGAGGCCAGGTGTACGCTCGGCCGGAGGCGTTATGGAAGCCGTTATAAAGGTGATTTTACATGCATGCAAAATTTATTGCGGGAAAAATGTTCCTTCTAAGAAGGAGATTTCGGCAACGCTTTCGTTGCTGGAGAAGGAGGGGCTATTATCATCCCCTTCTGACTTATATGATTCTGATAAATGGGATTCGTTTACTGCCGCTCTCTCACAGAGGGCAATGCTTACTCAGAAAGCAGCAGAGTTTAAGGTGTGGGGATTGATTTTAATAGCTCTTAAGAAAGCGAAGGAGGAGAAGATCGCAGGTGACCGTGCTAAGGAGCTGCTGGGGTTAGGGCCAGGGGGGGGTCTTGTCTCCCCTACAGATTCGCCGGAGGGCAAGATGGCGCTGACTCCTTCGGCCCCACCAGAAACAACAACCCTGGAGATAAAGAAGAACGAAGTGAAGCAGGAGCGGTCATACCATAAAGAGGAGGACCCACCTCCGTACCCGGCTCGCAGCATATATCCTTCACTTAAGCCCTGTAAAGATAACGGGGAAGGGGGGCCGGTGGAGGAAAGCAGTACAACTTCTAGCACAGTTGATAAGAGGGTCCTTGAGAAAGGAGAGATGTCTGGGGGAGCTGTGATACCACCTGTGGAATGTGACAGTGGGGGCGGGACTCACCTACTGTCCGATTCTGCCTGCTGCTGCAGCCACTCCCCACGGGGCGTGGATTGTCCCGCACAGCGTTGCTGTGGGGGGGGCGTTCCGACGGAGATGGCCTCAGGATCTGCCCAGGAGGGGCGTGGTCCCGTATCGACAGCTTCATGGGGCCCGCCTACCCTCGCTGACTGGGCTCGAGTGAGGGAGGACATACGGGCTGCAGACCCAGCAGGTGTTGCTCTCACTTTGCCAGTGGTGATGAGACCAGAGGGTCCAGCTTGGATTCCTCTGGATTCCAAAGCGGTTACTCGTCTTGCGGATTTAGTTAAGAGCAAAGGCCTGCGTTCCCCTGTCACTATGGCAGCAGTGGAAGCTCTTATGGCTTCTAGTCTTTTGCCATATGATGTGGTGAACCTTATGCATGTTATTCTTGAGCCCGTACAATACACCCTGTGGCATGATGAATGGGATAGATTACTTGAAGCTGTGGTGGCTGCTGCCACCCGTGACCCCCGCCATCCAGCCAACGGCCAGCGCAGAGGCGATAGAACTAATCTTGCACGTCTCCAGGGCCGGGCAGATGGAATGGTGGGATCCCCGGAGGGCCAAGCAGCGATGCTCAGAGCAGGAGAGCTGGCAGCCGTTACAGCTGCAGCTCTTCAAGCCCTGCGAGAATTAGCTAAGGTTGCGGAACCTGTGCTTCCGTGGGCAGACATAAAGCAGGGCCCCTCTGAGTCATTTTCTGATTTTGCGAATCGTCTAATTCATGCAGTGGAGGGATCTGATCTCCCAAGGGAGGTCCAATCCGCAGTCATAATGGAATGTCTTAAGCAGAAATCATTGCCAGACATCCAACAAATCATCAGAGCAGCACCGGGCACCTTAACTTCCCCAGGGGAGCTTATTAAGTATGTGTTAGATCATCAAAAGGTCGCACCATTAACTAATGAGGGATTAGCAGCTGCCATGCAAGGAATGGCTACTTCGGTTAATTCTGCAGTTAAGACCGCGATAATGGCAGTCACTCAAGCTGGGGGAGGAAGGGATAAAGGCCCGTGTTTTAAATGTGGGCAGCGTGGCCATTTTAAGGCGCAGTGCCCTATGAGGATGGGGCAAGGACTAGAGAAGCGGTGCCAATTCTGTGGCGGAGCCGGACATGTCGCACGTCAGTGTAAGAAAATTAAAAGTATGCTACAGGGAAACAGGAGAGGGAGGGTGCCGATGGCCCAGGACCCCTTCCCGTCATCTCTAGCTGGGCCAAAAGCACAACACCCACAGTGGCACTAACTATGGATTTAGAGGAACGACCAATCGTTACGGTTAAGATGTCATACGTGGATTCAGATCTTCCACCATCAGTGCCCAGAACAGTAATTTTTATAGCTCTGCTTGATTCTGGTGCAGATATTACTGTTATCTCAGAAGATGACTGGCCTCGGCAGTGGCCTGCGACTTTTATGTGGAGAGCGATCGTGGGTGTGGGGGGCGATGTGCCCACCAGAAAGGCGGACAGGGTAGTAGAGCTCGCGATCATCAATGATGATGGTACCATGGAGAAAAATGTACTTATCCTCCCTACTTTAGCACCGATAGGAGGATCCATACTAGGCAGGGACTTTCTTTTTGAACTGGGAATAAAACTGACAAATTTATGATAAGGGCCACTGTCCATCATTTAGCGCTGCAATATGCGATTCCGTTGCGTTGGAAACGGGACGTGTCTCCCGTTTGGGTGGATCAGTGGCCCCTTCCTATTGACAAATTAGCAGCGCTTGTGCAGATTGTTTCACGAGAGCTTGCTGCAGGACATGTAGAACCGTCACTCAGCAGCTGGAATACACCTGTTTTTGTAATTCGGAAAGCATCAGGGTCTTTCCGACTGTTACATGATCTCCGAGCAGTCAATGCACAACTTATCCCTTTTGGCCCGGTTCAGCAAGGGGGACCTCTACTTTCGGCTATACCGGAAGGATGGCCCCTGATGGTCATTGACCTTAAAGATTGCTTTTTTTCAATTCCATTAGCGGAGCAGGACAGAGAGGCTTTTGCATTCACTGTCCCGGTCCTGAACAATCAGGGACCTGCTCAAAGATTTCAGTGGAAGGTTCTTCCGCAAGGAATGACCTGCTCTCCAATAATTTGTCAACTAGTAGTAGGCAAAGTTATAGAACCTGTAAGACAGTCACTATCGAACTGTCAGCTAGCTCATTATATGGACGACCTGTTGCTTGCAGCGCCAGATGATTCTCAGCTGCAAGTGCTAGAAGAGCAGATAGTTAATGTGCTTACTACTGCTGGATTTGTTATTTCACAAGAAAAAATTCAGAGAGAACCAGGAATTGAGTTCCTGGGATACAGGTTTGGATCTGAAACGGTGATCCCAGAAGGATTAAAAATTAAACCCCATATTAGAACCCTGTGGGATGTTCAGAAACTAGTGGGGGCCATGCAATGGGTGCGAAATGCATTAGGTATACCTCCACGGCTTATGAAACCCTTTTATGATCAACTAAAGGGATCTAATCCTCAGGAAGAGAGACGGTGGACACCAGAGATGGAGTCTGCTTGGCAAGAAATACTAGTAACCTGTTCCTCCAATGCGCTTGCGAGGTGGAATTCAGACCGACCACTAGAAGGCGCAGTGACTAGATGCCAGGAGGGGTCTACAGCTGTGATAGGACATACCCTTAGCTCTCGACCTCGCCCATTGTACTGGCTATTTTCTGTTCAGCCAACAAAAGCATTTACCTCGTGGTTAGAACAACTTTCGTTTTTGTTACGTAAAGCCCGTCTTACTGCAATAAGGGCCTTTGGAAAGGACCTTGATATTATATATCTACCAGGAACCTTTCGGAATGTTCAGCCTTTGCCAGAGGAGGTTTTCCTTGTTCTCTATGATTTCAGTGGTAATCTTAGCTACACAGACTCACTGCCTATTTTTGATCTAGCAAGGCCTCTCCAGATATCACTGCAGTGTAGAGTACTGGATACCCCTGTGGACGGCCCAACGATTTTTACTGATGCTTCTTCAGCTACTAAACAAGGAGTAGCTGTCTGGCAAGCTCAGGATGGTAAATGGGAGTCTAAGGTGATAATTGATTGTTCAGCAAGTGTTCAAATGCTTGAGGCCAGAGCTGTGGCAGTTGCATTGCGCCTTTGGCCTCAGACACCCTGTAACATCGTGACTGATTCTGCATTCGTGGCTAAAATGTTACTGCGTATGGGCAAAGAGGGACAGCCCAATACAGTAACTGCAGCCCTATTGGAAGATGCCTTAGTGGTTAGGTCAGAGCCTGTTGCCATCCTTCACGTCCGTAGCCATTCTGAAGTTCCAGGATTTTTTACAAAAGGAAATGACATAGCTGATCGAGTGGCTAAGAAGCAGGTGTATACCCTGCAAGAGGCTCGAGATCTTCATTCTACATTACACATAGGGGCAAAAGCATTAGCTCGAACATGTTCCATTCCTGTTACAGTTGCTAGGGAAATTGTGCAGATGTGTCCATATTGCAATTCTGCACCGGCGTTAGGGGCAGGGGTTAATCCCCGTGGTCTCACCCCATTGGATATTTGGCAGACAGACTTTGCGATGGAACCGCGAATGGCACCAAGACAATGGCTCGCAGTGACAGTTGATACGTCCTCTACAGTCATTATTGCTACACAGCACAGCCGTACTAGTTCTACAGCGGCACAACATCATTGGGCCACAGCCATAGCGGTTCTAGGAATGCCACGCCACATAAAAACAGATAATGGCTCTTGTTTTACGTCACGTTCGTCTAAAGAGTGGTTAGCTCGTTGGAATATCTCACATACTACAGGAATTTCAGGCAACTCACAAGGTCAAGCTATTGTTGAAAGAGCTAACCGCCTCCTCAGAGAGAAAATTCGTGTCCTGGGTGAGGGGGAAGGACATACAGGAAGAATTCCAGTATCAGAACAAGGGGAAATTTTGGCGCGAGCATTATATGCATTGAATCATTTTGAGCGTGGGGATAACACAAGAACCCCGATACAAAAGCATTGGCAGCCAAGAATTATTGAGGAAGGGCCACCGGTTAAGATCAAGGTGGATAGTGGTATTTGGGAATCAGGCTGGTCTATTTTGGTATGGGGAAGAGGCTATGCTGCAGTAAAAAATAAGAGTTCTGGAAAAATTTTGTGGGTCCCTTCCAGGAAAGTTAAACCTGATGTAAGTGGGACATGATGGAGAAAGCAGAGAAGTAATCAAGAACTAAGTGCTTTGTTTTCAGGCATTGCTGTTTGGAACTCGTCAAGAGAAAACACCAAACCCACGACCGAAGCCAAAGCCTGACTCAGGAAAGGAGGCAGATAAAGAGCCACTGATAACGTCGAGATCAATCTCTCCTGTGTTGTTATCTGTGTGTCTTTTGCTATTTACAGCTATTTCTCCTGGAGAGGGCATAACAGACAGCGACCTATGGCATGGTCATGAAGAATATACAGGAATGATGGGACCAGTGAACAACTTAACTTTGCTGACCGTAGTGTTACGTGAAAATAGACCATATGACAGAAGTGAATGGGGATGGGATAATGTCACCAGATCTCCACGAATTTGGGGTAAACTTGGGCAAAACATAGAAGTAAAATGTTGGATGGTAAATGGATCTCAATACAAGAAGGCTACTCAAATTTCAAAAACAGATATTATATCAGGCGTAAGGGATCGCAAATCCTGTGTTACTGAACAGGGAGATTGTCAGTATAATTTCACCCTAACCCAACCTGTGATGATAACATGCCTTTGGACACAAGACACCCTAGGACGATCTTTTAAATTTAGGGTGGATCTCTTTAATCAACATACAACTGATGTCCCATATATAACTCCCACTAGGAGACTGAAGGGTGTTATCTCTCCACAAATTTATCAAATTGGACCGTACGTTATAAAGAATACAGGTCAGCAACAGGTAATCTTTAATCCAACATGGTCCCTTAAACGAGTGATGTTATTATTGCAAACTAATGTTTCAGCTATCAAACCAGATTGTGCATTGTTTTTAGGCATGTCATATGCTGGATGGTCAGCATGGCTTCATCGACAGTCATTTGATACAACTAGAAGAATAAGAAGAGATGTTTCCGGTATTCTGGGAACAGGTTTAGGAGTCTTAAATGGTGTAGACACTGAAATACTCATGAGTAAATTGAATACCATTACAAGTAACATACATAAACTACAACATCCTCTACAGTCATCCCTATCGGCTCTAGGAACAAGTCAATGGCTTTTATCAGATGTATTACCGCAATGGGAAAGGATAGATAGAAAAGATCATCAGCTGATTATGGATGCGCTTTCAGCAGTCCAAGGTAACACCTCTTTAGCCCTCAGTTGCATCCAGGCCCAGATGTGGATGCAATTTATAGCAGCAACAATCGTGAGAGAAGGTGAGGATGGCACTATACCCACTGAAATTAGAAAAGTAATTTGGGACAATGCAAATAGATTTGAAAGGAAGTTTCAATCATGGTGGCATTTAGTTAACTTCACCTATGACCCTGTCACCAATTATGCCATGGCTTTCGTTTTGACGATAAGTAATGCTTCAGCATACACGATATATCCAATCGTAGCTCTAGGATTAAATCATGATGAGACTACTCTGTATCCAATTGAACATCGGATATGGGCTCTTCAAAAGAATGAGAAATGGCAAACTGTGGACGTTAGCTCATGTGCCATGCGAGAACAACGAGGATTTATTTGTGAAAGTAATATATTTGAGACTCAAGATATCTGTCTTGACACTGAACAAAATATTTGTCACTTTGAGGTCCAACCTGGTAGGATGTTCAAATCAATGCTTGTATATATTGGAAAAGGATGTGCTTGCATCAGAACTCATTGCAATTCCATACAAATAGGGGATATGATTGTGGATACTACCAATCATTCAAATCTTTGTGTTTGTAATTTTATTAACATTTTAGGATGTGATTTTAACTATACAGTTCCTATTATTTCATATCAGCTTCTGCAGTCCAACTACACTCTGATCAAAGATTTGCGTCCAGCGCTAATTGGAATGAATCTCGCCTTAGTAAGGAAGCTTCTACAACATGATGATCTGCATCGACTATTAAATCGCATCAAAGATAACGGACAAAAGACCTTGATCACCATCCATCATGACGTGAAAGAGATACATCGTGTCTTGGAGAGAGTAATGAAGGCTGGAGAACATCACTGGTGGGAGGTTCTTTTTGGTTGGTCTCCCACAGCAACGGGAATGTTTAACTTTATACTGCATCCGGTAGTTGTTATATTAGGTTTAATATTATTGTGCTTAGTTCTTATAGTTATATTATATGTAAAGACATGGCGCTTGTTAAAGCAAGTGTCCCAGCTTGATTTAGTGTTAAATAGGGATACACTGCATCGTTTCTTGTAAGACTTATCTTAAGGCTAATAGATGGTTGTAACGTTAAGGTAGAATTTATATAAGATTTTAAGATATAAGATTTTAAGATTTTAGGATTATTAAGTTAAATAGGTTGTTATTAAGTTGATAGATTATAGGCTATTAGGATAGGATGTTTTGCGAATCGGGTTGTAACGGGGCAAGGCTTAACCGAGAGGACAATGGCATGTATAGGCGCAAAGCGGGGATTTCGGGGTGTACGCGGTTAGGGTCCTCTCGAGTTGTAGTATACTTTTTTGAGCATGGAGAGGGGGAGATGTTGTCAGCAACTGCGAAATTGCGAGACCCCCCCGCGGGGTCTGATGTGCTAAGCTCCCTCCCTGCTCTAATGATTGATGTGTGATGTAGGCCCCTAGGGGCGTAGACGAAGTAATTAAGCTATATAAGGTAGTTAATACGGGTAATAAACGCCATTTTACTGCTCATCATATTGGTGTCACCTCAGTAATTGGCCAAGCTGCGGTCTCCTGGGGAAGCGGAACGGGTGCGGACTGTAACGGTAGTATATAGTATATATACTACTATACTACTATATACTATATATAGTATATAGTAGTAGTAGTATATAGTAGTAGTACACATATATTTATGTGTATACTTCACACATCTCTCTAACTGCTAGTGTAATTAGGTTATATGAATAGTAATGCTTTTAGGTATTTTCGGATGCTAAAATTTAGAATTAAAAAAAAAAAATTCACTCTTTTTCATTGTTATAGACCACATCTAAATATCTCATGTAAATACATACAGATGTATTTAAGAGAATTCAAATATTAATTTAAAGATTCTTGGATCTATTTAAAAGCTCATTTCATTAAGATACAAAAGGCGGATTAAATTTACTTTCCTTACATGAGGTATAAATTTGATTTTAAAAGATTTTAAATTCTGATAGCATGCTGTGGGGTAAGACGTAACTCTGAGCAAGTCAGCACGGAGTTTATCAGATTCCTTGATAGACCCTATCACTGTGAAACCTTGGGAGTTTGGATTGTAAGACAGAGAGCAAATGGTATCTGTTTGCATCTAAGGGAAAAAAGGAGGTTCTGTTTGTATGCATTGTGAATCTTATCACACTTAAGAAAACTTTCATTCTTTACCACTGTGTTATGGGAGAAGCTAGGCCAATTAACGAATTAGGGGGACAGGAATTCCTGGCTTCTAAGTGAATGATATATAAGATATATGGTGAACACAATAAAGGAGAACTATCCGAGAACTATTCTGATGCTACAAGAAACTGTGAGAGTACCCTAACTTGACTGAGCGCTGACAGCGTGCTAAGTATAAAACCTGTTTAAATTTGATTATTTTCTTTAATACACAAACAAATACTAATAAAATCTATAATTCATTCAGAAAAAAAGGAAGTATCTTCAATGACAGGAAAAACATAATGATACAAAAATAAAATTAGTGGGGAAAAAAAAGATGGTATATACTATGTAAAACTACAGTATGCTATGATTAAAGGATTTTATCGAAGCTTATTTTGTCTTCCTTGACAGTCTTCACATTCCACGCATGATGTGATTTTCCTGAATTTTCGTTAATAAAATCTTCTATTGCTCTTCTTTGTTCAATATTTCATCTTTTGATTTACTTCTATCTTTTCTTTAAAATTTCCTACAGTCCTTCCTACAGTCACTCCTCATGGGGCATATTCACCAAGCCCTTCAGAAGCCTTGTTGTCCTTCTTTGGACCTGCTCCAGCACCTCAAAACTGAACAGAAACTGGAGGTGGGTCCTCATCAGAGTCATGTCAATCCTATGCCAAGAGTGGGCATAGGATTAGTTCCCTAGTCCTGCTCACCACACCGTTCCTGATAGAAGCCAGGATGCCATTGGCCTTCTTGGCTACCTGGGCACGCTGCTGGTTTATATTTGTCCAACTGTCCGTCAGTACACCGAGGTCCCTTTCCATCAGGCAGCTTTCTAGCCAATCCTCTGCAAAAAGATTTCCTTCTTTCTTCTTTATTTTTCTTCTTTTCTCCATGAAAACCCTCATCTGTTCTCAAATGCAAACTTGTTTTGATTTTTGTGAGCTGTGATTATATCATGAAACATTCTTTTGTTGTATAGATATGGTTTACTGTGTCCTGATTGATTCTTCTTGGACAGGAAAAACAAGAATTTAAGAATGAAGACAGGAGAAGAGGTAATTGATGCCCAGCTGTCAACATGAATGTTTTTGTTCTGTCTGAAAAAAAGTTGTGTTTTCAACCCTTTGTGAAATGTCAGCATCTATTTGTTAGCTTTCTATACCCCAGAATGATATGTCCAGCTAGACTGCCCCAAATTTTGAGCTTTGGATAATGGAAGAATTCACATTTATGCTGAAATTGAGTTGTTCTATACTTAGGATACTACTGGAGAATATGAGCATTTTTTTTTTTCAACATCCTGTGTCATATTTGCTTAAAATAAATAACCCTATGGTGGTAAAGACAATGCTTTCTCTTTCTCTTGTACAGATTTTACATCAGTTTGTTTCATGGAAATTCTCTGTAGATATCCTAGGTAAGAATATGTTGAAAAACTCTAACACAGAATTCCCTAATCTAACTCATCTGAAGTTTGATAAGTAAGTTTGTGAGATGAAGGTACTGAATGGAAAAGTCTCTGTTTTGATATTTCTGATTATGTATTCACAATATTTCAGTGAACGTATTTCTAAGATAATGTCACAGCTGCAGAAGATGTATGATGAGTGGAATCAGGCCATGTCAAATTTCAGTGTGTGATGGGGTGCACAAGAACTCTAGGGAATAAATCACATGATTAAAAAATCTGCTGATGTCAGTAAATTGATAGCATGTCAGATCACAACAGCTTTCTTAGGAAATACAGAGTATGATTTTTCATTTTTACATGTTTGATTTTATGGTCCTTAGTATCCATGTTTTTGAATGTTTTAACACCTTACAAGCAGAGAGATATATAAACATAGAAGTAGAAATAGTAGAAATCATAAAAAATAGATGAAAATATAGATATTAAAAATATGAATGCATTTTGGGTGGGAGATGCAACTTCCATTGTTATACTGCTTCTTCACAGTAGCAAATGTGCTATTTTTTACTGATTATATATGTACAGCTACATATGTTATAGCATGTGCTCTAGTTAATATAGAAGTACACTAAACATCTAAAGTTGGATATATCTCTTTTTCTCAGTTATTCACGTTGGATGTGTTTAACACAAAATAATCTTAAATTTGGAAGACTCATCTCCAGGAGAACAATGTAATATTCTTATGACCCTTGTATTTCCACCTTGCCACTTGCTGATAGAGTATGTGATGATATCATAACAGGTATTCCAAATAGAGATATTCATTTGACATCACTCTTGTAACTTCTCTTGCCTTATTTTTCCTACAAGAAAGAGCTTCTGGCCAACCTACAAAAGTGTCTGTCAGTACAAGTAAGTACCAATACCTCACTTTTCTAGGAAGTTCTGAGAAATTTATTTGCCAATGTCTCGAATGTTCTCTTTCTCAGTAGACCCTACTTGTACCCTGTTACTGGTGTTAGGATTTAACATTGTTGAATAACTTGTTTCACTGTGGTGTACAGATTACAACCAACAATGACTTTGTTCAAATATTTATAAAGAGCATCGACTCGCCAATGTGTTTTATTATGTTCCCTAAGAAACAAATCACTAAAGGGCACAACAACACATCCATCAGGTGTGTATGGCCATTTGTCAGTTAGCTCATTTCCTTCTAAATCATTACATTTCTATCTTTTTTAGAATATTTTACTGGTTTTGACTCACATTCATCAACTTGAAGTTTACCATCTGGAATTAAAGTCAGTTGATCAATTTCTTGTCCTTCAGCTGCCTGTTTTGCTGCCTGATCCTCCAGATTTCTTCGTCATGCTTTTATTTTATTTTTTTTTCTTTTGCTGTGAGCAATAGTGTCTCTTTCCAATTGGCACCATGAATGTATACCACCTCAAGTGCATATTTAGAATCTGTCCATGTATTTATCCTCTTTTCTTTTTCCAACTATAAAGCTCTTGTCAAAGCTTTCTGAGCCGAAGTCCCCACAAGTAATGGTTTTGCTTTGATTACCTTATCCATAGTAGTTACTGCATATCCTGCCTGACAATTCCCTTGTCTCACAAAACTGCATTTGTTGGTGGTGAACCAGGAATAGTCACCATCATCCAGTGATGGTGATCCACCAGCATGATTTAGATCTGGCCAACTGGCATACAAAATCTCCATTGCTTCCAAGCAATACTATGCTGACATCGTCTTGTTCTGCCAGTGTGGCCTGATATTTCAGAAATCTGGAAAAGTGGCCTCTATTCTGTTCCAGAACTGCAGAAACCGAATGGGTTTCTGCAATGACCAATACGGTCATTTTCTGTCCCAAAGTAAATTTGCAAGCTTCCTGGATATTAAGAACAACTGCTGCCACTGCTCATAAGCATCCCAGCCAATCTCTGTTCACTTGATCAAACTGTTTGGAGAAGTAGGCAATTGCCCTTTTATACAGTCCCAGTTGTTGTACTTGAATGCCCAAGGCTATACTTTGTTTCTCATGAGAAAATAGCCAAAATGGCTATTTGTAATGTCTGGAAAGCCTAGGGTTGGAGCTCTCATTAGTTACTTCTTCAGTTCTTCAAATGTCTTTTTTGTCTCTCCAGTCCAAGTCAACTTAAACTGATTATTTTTCAGTAATTCATATGAAGGTTTTACCAAAGGCCCATAATTATAGATCCATAGTTGGCATTAACCTGTCATGTCAAGAAAGGTTCTGAGTACTTTTAGTCTATGTGGTCTGGGCATTTGGTAAATCAGTTCCTTCTGTTGTGCTCCAAGTTTTCTTTGTTCTCCTGAGATCTCAAATCTGAGGTAAAACACTTGCTGCTGGACTAATTGATCTTTCTGTTGAAAAACTTAATAACCATTTAAACAAAGAAAATTCAGTAAACTCGCACTCCATTGAACACCGTCCTCTTTTGTTACTGTGGCAATGAGAGCGCCGGCCACATACTGCAAGAGAGTTCAACCTTGAGCTGGGTGAGCCCAAGCTTCAAGTTCACAGGCTAGTTGGCTCCCAAAAATAATTGAGCTATTCTTAAAACCCTGAGGTTACACTGCCTAAGTTAGCTGAGTCCTCTTTCCTGTATCGGGATTTTCCCATTCAAAGGCAAATAACTTCTGACTTTCTTTGGATAAAGAAGAAAGCATTCTTCAAATCCAGGATGGTAAACCACACCTGCTCATTCCTCAACTTGGTTAATATAGTGTATAGATTTGTCACCATTGGGTGTATGGTTGTATATTTTCAATGATTCTGTTAATTGTTAATTCTGTCAATCAAATCTTGCACCAAGTAATTGTTCTTGCCATCCAGTTTTTTCACCACAAGATTAGGGTGCTGTGTTTGGATTCACATTCAATTAATAATCCAAACTCCACAAAGTTATCAATTATTTTATTTTATTTTTCCGTTTAAGATCGTGCACTCTCAACAGGTACTGCTTATGTATAATTGTTTTTCCCAGTCTGTATTAAAGCTAGACTTAAAATTGGTCTTCCTTGGTTCTTAGCTCCACTTTTCTTTTATTGAATTTAATCTCTGTATCCATTTATTCTAATAATTCTTGCCTGAATTTTATGGTTTCAGAGAACCTGGAATGTACAAGAACGTATGTATTCCTACTTGTTTTCCTGGCCAGTATTCAGTTGGTCTCAATAAGTAATATTTTTCTTGTCGGCCTGTAGCTCCTACTACTGTTACAAAATCTGCATCCATGGGTAATAATTCTTGATTAGAGCATAGAGTAAGAGGAACCTGAATCTACCAGAAAACTGACCTGTTTACCCTGCTCCCCTAGCTCCCATTCAACCAGTGAGTCTCATAGGGTACACTGACCAGTTTCCCACCACTCAGCTTTTGCGATCAGAGATGGTTCGTCCCTCTCAGCTTGGAACAGCTTCTCCACCACTGTCCCATTTTCCTGCAATTTGCACACTGCTCTCAGTCCAGTGGGGGACAGAACCATGCCTGGGTGTCGCCTTTGTTTCGGCGACCCTGACTGAAGTCTCCTTGTGAAAGTGTTCCAACAGCCCCGGCCAGTTTCGCATGCTTTTCATGACACCAATATGGTGAGCGGCAAAATGGCGTTAATTGCAAGGAGCACTTCCTTCTTAAAACTTTCCCCATGCCTTAGGGTTACTACCTGACCAATGAACATGTGGCATGTCTTGTTTCTTCCTTATTTGTTCTATCCTGTTCTTCTCTCTTATCTTCAAGTCATTTGTTGCCATGGTTTCCCAGGGGCCAAGGGGCCCCTGTCGACCCTGGCGACTGCCCCAGCCCATTCAGTTAACTAAATTTCCCCCTCCCTAAGCACAGGCCAATCTACTACAACCTGAGAGGACCCTAATCGCGTACACCCCGAAATCTCCGCATTACACCTATACATGCCATTGTCCTCTCAGTTCAGTGTTGCCCCATTACATTGCAATGCTCCAGATAATCCTACCCTAATAACCCTATAACTTATTAACCTAATAATCCCAATGTCTTAAGCGTGAGTTCTATATAAAGCTATATATTGCATACTTAGATGCTGATTCGTTCGTCTTAGCATTTGCTGTATGAGTCATTGGTCTCACACTATACTTATCTATGTAGTATACCTATATATCTATATAATATAAGCGTAAAGCGTATTAATGTTAGACCTAATACAACTATAACTGAATACAGAATAGAGTTAAACATAGTTAAACATCCGTTACAATACGTACGCGAACCCGGTTACAATCTTTCGAGAAGCTTATGGTATTCCAAGTGTTGATTGCTTAAACGTTATTGCAGACATGCTTGATGAAGCAAGGTACACAAATTGGACGCAGACTTTACACCACTGAGCAGAGGGAGGTCCTATCCTGTCTCATCCCTAGTCCTCGCCTTCTTCATCTGCCACAAAATCTCTCCTATGCTCAGTCAAACCCTGCTCTGTTATATTGCAAAGCACCTGATAGTTCTACTCTAACAGCCTAGCAGCCTGCTAGCCTTAAGATGAGTCTTATAAGAGGCGATGTAGTGTATCCTTAGATAATGCTGAATCGAGTCGGGACACTTGCCTCAGCAAGCACTACACCTTAATATATATTATAACTATCAGTACTAAGCATAATAATGTTAAACCTAACACAACTACAACCAGATGCAGTACAGAGTTAAATATCCCTGTCGCGGTGGGGGACCATCCAAAAAGTGCTTCCCACCAGTGGTGTTCTCCATCCTTCTTTACTCTCTCTAGGACACAATGTATCTCTTCTGTGTCGTGGTGAATGGTGATCAAGGTTTTCTGTCCATTGTCTCTGACGCATTTCAACAATTGGTGCAGGTCGTCATGTTGCAAAAGCTTCCTTACCAAGTTCCTTCCTTGGTAAGCCAAACCAAAATTCATCTCACTTGGAGCAGGTGATAGGTCTTTAATCACCGTGTAATTATCCTGCAAGAATTGATGTGATGTCGCCGACACTTAATAATTAAAGCCACATCCTACAATACTGGTAAGGTTATAGACAGAGAGATTAGAGATTAGAGTGATTGCTGATAGCTCTAGTGGCACTATCTGTGCCCAATATATACCAACATTGTCTCAGGTACCTGTTGGAATGTACCTCAAGAATAACAAACATTTGTTCAATATCAAGGCAGATGTCTCAAGCCTCGAGAGCATTGCTCTCACAAACCAACCGTATGGAATTGCTTGTTCTCCAGGCCTCAATCTGGCCACCTTTCCATAAAGGGAACCCATTCTGATGCCCACAGTGTATGCTGCACTGGCTTAAGCACCACGCACATCAGATTTGTTACACGCTGAAACAGAAGGCCTAATGTTGTCAGGACTTCTAGTGCATTTAAAGCGAGGAGTGATTTCAATTCCTGTTTCTCTGCACAATCTATCAGGTGTGTGATGCCTTTCGGATCAAGAGGTACCCTTTCTGGGTCTCTGTTATCATTCTCTACTATCGAGATGGTCTCTAGTGCTCTTCCTTCCTTTAACAGGCTAGATCTAAACTTCCCACAGTCTGTTAGTGCATTTCTCTTAACTCCCAAATGCGAATTCACCTCTCTCCTTTCGCTATCCTTTTCAGTCACAGCTGGAAGCTGCGCGCTCCGCACCGCTCCCACTGTGCCCATCCCCCTTTGAACATGCACTGACTGTTGTAGAGGCTTCTGATTGGTTGCATGCACACTCAATCTTGTAAAAGGATATGTGGGTCGAGTCAGTGGGTCTGAACACTGTGACAAAGAGTGGGTCTGGAGACTATCGTTATTTCTTTCTCCATCGGGTGCAGCCTGAGCAGAGGGCGCCGGCTGGACGCCACGTACACCTTCAGGTGCAGTCAGGTTGGACAGTGCCGGCCGGACACTATCATCCCAGCGCCTGTAACTTACATCGCTTCCCTTTCTCTGTGCTGTTTTTTCTTCTACCGCCTCCTTAACTTTTGACCAATCCATACCTGAGCCTTGCTCGCAGTTCCCACCCCCCTGGGTGTTACTGCATTCCACCTCCTGAGAGGAGACAGCAAGTGTCCCATCCCAGCTCACTTCTCCCCCTGACCCCGCAGGGGGCAGATTACACAGAGACAGCGGTTGTTGTGGATACAGCAGAGGGGTTTCAACGACCTTGCATTCCTGCACTTTAGCCGTTTTGCAAGACAAAAGCGCAGACAGTTGAACGCCTTCTTCTACTTGTTCATGCGAATCTGAAGCTGAGGGGGGGTGGGTGAAGTGGGATGCCGAAGGTGCGGATGAGATGTTAGTCGCTATAGCTGGGGGCATATTTACGGTGTTCTCTTCCTCAAGGGACCTGCAAGAAAGTACGCTCCCCGCACACGTAAGAATGATCCTGCCCAAGGGGCGCTCCCCCATTCCCATGGTTAACGCCACTGTGAGCGAGGGGCTCACTGAGGTGCGGGACCCCGAGCTTGGGTAGGCAGAGCCACATTGTCTGGTCCATTTGGTGTTCCGGGGGAGGGGCCCTGGGCCTAAGGCACCCTCCCATCCTCGTTTCCCTGTGGCACTATGACAAACTTCCGACATTGGCTACAGTGTGCCCTAATCTCCCGCAGGCTTGGCAAGTCTGGTCTAGCCCTGCTTCCCTTTCTGTCTCCCAGGGGCTTGGCACTGGGCTCTGAAGTGACCGAACTGTCCGCACTTAAAACACGGTCCCCTACTCTGATCCTCCCTCATGGCCATCGCCGCTACTAATGCTGCTGCTAATCCCTCATTGGTGAGGGGCGTTGTTCTCTGTTTCTCTTGTACATACCCAATGATATCTCCCGGAGTACTGAGGTCATCGGGAGCGGCTCAAATAAGATCCTTAACATTTTTGTGTGATTTCTGTTTAAGACAATCCATGATTACTGCATTATGGGCAATCTTTGGCATATCTGAGCCTTCTACTGCCCGAATCAAGCAATTGGCAAAATCTGAGAATGACTCAGCTGGATCCTGGGCTACCTCTGCCCAGGGAGCAGAAGGTTCAGCTGTCCTGGAGAACCTTCTGAAGGCTGTCAGAGCTGCTTCTGTGGCTGCCATCAGCTCTCCTGAACTGGCCCTCAGGGGACCCTATCATGCCTTCCCCATACCCTAACAACCGTGTCAGATTAGTTACCTCTCCCTGTTCCCTACCATTTGCTGGGTGTTGTGGGTTACATGTCGCTGCTGCGACTACAGCCCTGAGCTGTGCCGACCACTCTTCCTGCCATAACATATACTGCACTGGCTCAAGTATCACCTGCATGAGGCCCTCTATATCATATGGAAGCAAAGGTCCCGGAGCCATAATTGCCTCCAATGCAGAAAGTGTAGTGGGCGATCGTAAACCCTTCTTCCCTATTGTCTCAGCGAGGCGAGTTACTGCCCTTGGGTCTAAAGGAATCCAAACGGTTCCCTGTCCCCTGATCTCTACAGGGAATGCCTTATAATCATGTAAAAGATCCTCTACTCTCATCTCCTCCCTTACCCGGCCCCAGTCGATAAATAAGGCCCCTTTCCCCAAGTTAGCTGGGACCCTGGCCATTTGGGAGGGCAGAATGGGTGGTGGGGGCAGAGCTGCAACCATCAATCGCTTGGCCCCTGAGGGCAGAACCGCAGCCAGCAATACCTCGGCCTCTGCCCCTACCCCTGCCACTACCCGTGTAGGATCCTCCCCCTGACGAAAGCCATGCAAAGAGGGGTACTGGAGAGGATACGGGGGCAGAGCCATCGGCGATGATGGCGTCTCTTCCTCCTTCTTTTCTGGTATTGATGTTTCTGGCATGGTCAGTGCCAGCGGTGCCATCTTGTCTTGGGGCAGATCCTTGAAGGGGTTAGAGTCTCCCGGCCGCGGTGACCCCCCCCACCCGGATCCAAACCCAACAGATCTCTGGCAAGGTTTTTGGCAGTCTTTTCTTCCCTCGCTGCCTTCAAAGCACCCCGAATCAGACCCCAAAATTTAAGCACCGACGCCCCTTGGGACGACATAGCTCTCTGAGCAAGCGCTAATGTCAAAGAGTCCCACTTGCTGGAGTCATAAATCTCATAAGGAAAAGAGGGAAGTCCGTCCTTTACAAGAAAAGAAAGAACGGTGGCCACCTCCTTCTTAGAAGGGGCGGTTTTCCAGCAATACGTTTTACAGGTTTGATATAATACCGTAATGACGGATAATGACGGATTCCATTGTCGCCCAGGGAAATCAAACCCTCCGCGACCTTCCACCAGCTACCAGCGATGCTCTTAGCCCCAGGGGATCAGCCCCTCTTGCTCTTCCGCCGCCTTAAAACGGCAGGCTCCTGCGTCCATCCCGCAGCCGGCCGTCACACTTCCACAAATGAGACTTCCTCACACGGTGCACCATTTGTCGCCTTTGTTTCGGCGACACTGACTGAAGTCTCCCTGTGAAAGTGTTCCGACAGCCCCGGCCAGTTTCGCATGCTTTTCATGACACCAATATGGTGAGCGGCAAAATGACGTTAATTGCAAGGAGCACATCCTTCTTAAAACTTTCCCCATGCCTTAGGGTTACTACCTGACCAATGGACATGTGGCATGTCTTGTTTCTTCCTTATTTGGTCTATCTCTTATCTTCAAGTCATTTGTTGCCATGGTTTCCCAGGGGCCAAGGGGCCCCTGGCGACCCTGGCAACTGCCCCAGCCCATTCAGTTAACTACACCTGGGCCCTTCTTGCTCCTCCCTTCCTCCCCTCACTTTGAAATGGGAACAGCAGAACAGCAGTTAGGGTCCCCCTAAGCTAAAGAAAGAAAGCTCTAAAGAAGGAAGAAGAGAGTGTGGATAATAGATCAGAACCAGAAAGGGACAACCATGTTAGCTGAAGATCTGAGTCAGAAACAGTACTGACACAAACAAACAAACAAACATAAATAAATGAATCTCTACAGAGATTTGCTGCCTGCTGAGGCTATACATTTGGGAAATGAGGGAGAAGCTACCAACTAAAACAAAGTGAGAGGATTACTATCTGTTTCTGCTTTTTCAAGGTGGGTCACAACTTGGAGGCTGCAAGTAGGAAGGATGTGTACTTCTGAGTAACAGAGAAGAACAAGTGAAAAATGTCACTTTAGGAAGCATCAGGAGAAAATCTCAGAGTTGTCCCAGAGGAGTTTGGGAGGGCACTCTGAGAAGATACCATGTCACAGTCTAGCCCAGGTGCATACACTGATGCATTCAGCATGGGAAATAAGCAGGAGGAGATGGAAACCATGGTGCAATGAGAAAGCTATGACCTGCTATGTCACTCTATGGAAACTGCTGAGTCACGGCCTGAACCTCTGATTAATCACCTGAGGTGAGCCATGAGTCAGCCAGAGGAGCACAGGTGAAGGCAATTCACCTGTGCTGCCGGAAGGGGTGCAGCCAGGCTCCACCCCTCCTAGACCTATTTAAGAGCTGGCTATCAGAGGGGAAGGATCTCTTTTGGAGATCACCTCTCTTGGTGTTTTGTGGTGAGCTCAGCTGAAGAGTAAGCTCTTCCACCTATTCTCTTTTTGTGATCATTGTCTACTTTGTCTAAGTCTCTTGATTGTATTGTGATCATAATATCTTGATATCTATTGATTATACAATTATATTGTGATTATAACATCTTGATATCTATTGATTATACAGTCATAGAATCACAGTGGAGTGAATTGCACACCTGTACTACCGTGACTGTGGTTATAAGCTTAAGAAATTTACAAGAAAGGTCATAAGGAGGATCTGGGGAACTACAGGCCTGTTAGCCTGACCTCGGTGCCAGGGAAGGTTATGGAGCAGATTGTCTTGAGGAAGATCATGTGGCATGTGCGGGATGACCGGGGGATCAGGCCTTGCCAGCATGGGTTCATGAAGGGCAGGTCCTACTTGAACAACCTGATCTCCTTCTATGATCTAGTGACCCATCTGGTGGATGAGGGAAAGGCTGTTGATGTGGTCTACCTAGACTTCAGCAAAGCCTTTGACACTATCTCCCACAGTATTCTCCTGCAGAAGCTGGCAGCCTGAGGCTTGGATAGGTACATTCTTGGCTGGGTAAGGAGCTGGCTGGAGGGCCGGGCTCAGAGAGTGGTGGTGAATGGAGTTAAATCCAGCTGGTGACCGGTCATGAGTGGTGTTCCCCAGGGGTCAGTG